ACACTGTTTGCATCGCATAAAGTACGTGGTGTGAAATATGGTATAGTGGAATTTTTATACTTAAACGCACGTGCATAGAGTCTTCTGAAAAGACTTCTTGTTTTACCTGAGGAGGAGACACAAGATGAAAGCTGTGGGTGCTCAGATTCTGACAAAATTCCTTTAGCAAATTTGTTACATGACATCAATTGCCTATCAGTGACAATGTCAACGACCGATATGGCCCAATGGGATACCACTCGTTCTACTGACAGTCTTCAGAGTTCTACGAAGTATGACATGGTCTTTTTTAAGCAATCCAGAAAAGAATAAGGGTGGACAGTAAAGAAGAATAGGTAAGATGCACGAGTTGACAAACTGTGGGAGGAGTGGTTGGGTTATGCCTGAATACCTCAACTTCTTAATATAAAACGCCAGACGAAATATTCTTTAGGAAATCGCTAAGACATGGGAAGAGCAGGATAGGTCAGAAGGGAAAGAATTAATCCAAGGTACTTAACTTCAGACTTGATTTCTATTTCATCACTATCATCAATTTTTCAAGGGTCATAGGAACCAGCAGCTTCATTTAACTTTCGTTTACATCGGAAACTGAAATTAACAGTCTGACATTTGGAAGGATTTAGTTTAAGACTGTTAGATGAAAACCATTTGCTAATTCCTGATAGAAAGCTGTTCATCTTAGCACAGTCAAGCTGGGAGTTAACAGACATTGAAATAGTTAGATCATCCGCATACTTAACAAAGTGTATTTTATCAGAATGAGGCAATTCATGCAAGAAGAAAGAAAACAGAAAAGGAGAAAGAACAGCGCCTTGAGGGACACCAGCCTTAGTAAGCAACGAAGTGGACGACTTTCCCTGACATACAGTGTACTGCTTTCTTCCTGAGAAATAAGAATGCAGCCATTTGACAACCCAACAGTCAGTTTGAATTTCGGCCAGCTTGTTTAACAAAATGTCCCTAGGTACTGAGTCGAAAGCAGATGTGTAATCTAGGAAGGTACAGAGAACAAATTTAGCCCCATTTGTCTAAGCTGGAGACAATGTTATGATACAAGACTGCAACTGCAGATAAAGTACTTCTACTGCGTTTTTAAGTGAATTGTTTGGGATTGTTAAAAGCTTTAAGTGAAGGTTGAAGATTAAGTAGAAGTAACTTTTCCATAGTTTTTAGAAAAGGAGACGTAATAGCAATAGGTCTAAATTTAAAACATATTCCAGTAGACAACTTTGGTAAGGTACAATTTTAATGTCCTTCCAAACGGCTGGTACGACATTTTTGGAAAAAGATTCGTTAAATATGTCCATAAGAGGATAACACAGGATGTCTGCACACTTTTTAAGAATAACACTAGGCACACCATCTGGACCTAGGCTACAAGAAGGATTCAAAGACTGAAGACATTTTAGAACATCATTTGTTTTGAAACCAGGGAAGCAGGTTTCATTAACACTTGTAACACTAGAAAGTTTGGCATTTCTGGGATATATATATATATATATATATTCAATTATATGGTACTTGTTTATTTATTATTATTTTAGAAACTTTCACACTACGAAGGAAACAGCCTGTTGTGTTTGCTTGACATTTTGTAGTCACAATAGACGCAAGCAAGAAGTTGATTACGTTCCCTTTAGTGGAACATACAGGCTTCAAGTTAGAGCTTCGAAGTTTCGGTAACAGTGTTGCTTGTTTACTTTTACAGGATGGGGTTGCTGCAGGCCTCACTCATGTGCCCAACCTCACCTTCTTGACCAGTCTTATTACTAGCCTAGCGAAGTAAAGGAGGAGTGCGTCTGTGGCCGGGGACCGAACCCCTGACCACATCCGCATGGTTGACGAGCATTCATTCTACCGCTAAGCCATCAACGCACTTCGTTATAATATGCGTGTTATTATACAATCAGTAAAATGAAAGTCAGTTTTTCTGACTTCTCAAGTATTGGTTTTGCAGGGATTTCACCGTGGGCTGATATCAGTTAGAGGACCACTGGAAGACCTGGGAGTACTGGACAGCTGTCCCGTCCTAGTTTGGGACTCTTCATAGTGTCCCAAACTAGGACGGGACAGCTGTCCAGTACTCCCAGGTCTTCCAGTGGTCCTCTAACTGATATCAGTCCACGATGAAATCTTCCAACTGATTATTCTAACTCTTTATCAAAGGACGACCAGTCGATTATGGAATGTACAATTAAAAATGTTTAGCAGAAAAAGCTCGACCGAAGCTGCTATCTTGACGTGGTGGTCAGGCTTGCATATCTCAATGACCCGACAAGCTACGCTGACTGGGACTATTGTTTCTTCAGCTTTAACCATGCCAGGAAGGTTGTTAGGATAGCGATTAGACTAAAAGCAGTAACCGGCGTAGTGTAAGTTTTATTTACACTATCTTGAGGGTCTGTGGGCGAAGTTGTATTGCAGCGGAACAGGGATGTAACAACAGTAAGGTGTTTCCCTCAGATGGCCAGCATGCCGGCCAGCTATGCTGTCTCTCTACTCTGAAGAGAGGGGGTTAGAAAATGTCGACTCCAACAATTGTACATCTCCACTTACCCTACGGTGGTTCATAACCGGCGGTAAGTTAACTAATAGGGAACCAGCCCAAGAAACCAGTTCATACAGGCTGTGTGTGACCGGCTATCCTATGGGCTCTGCGGTCACGCAAAACTAACCCTCCTTCTGTTTCAGGTACTCGAAGAATTAATAAACTTCCACAGTGTGGGCAGCCGGGAAGTAACAACCGCTCACACACTTCCAAGTGGCTTTTTAGTTTGGACAAAAAAGTAGTCAAAATACTGAGTTAAAACTCAAGTTACCTGGAACTAAATATCTTAAATACCAGGTTTAAAAGTCACATACTCATTGTGTATGAAAGCTTGTGTTACTTAATTTAGTATCCCACGGCTTAATACCAAAAATACTGGCAATAATTAGGGTTTAATTCTAAAGGTAGACATATTTATATACATATGGCAATAATGATCTCTTTAAGTGTTGGTTTGTAGAGATTGAATTGCTTTCAGAATTTCATCATGAAACTGACATTTGTTAGAGAACCATTGGCAAAACTAGCTAGGAGTACTGGATATCCAGGTGTTTCGTCCTAGTTTCGAACTCTTCATCAGCTCGTGCATGATCAGTTCTGTTGAATAGTTTATTTCTTAAAGTGAGTATGATTGTATTGATTTTTTAAAATTCTCTTGAAGGAAGGTGAAAACTTCACAATTAGAAAGTCTCCAGCCTACATATAGCATTATTTAAGATTAGTCACACACACATAGGCGTGACTAGTAGCTTATTGCATTCATCGATATGTATTTAGATATGAAGTTTACACACAATATACAGAGCAGATAAATAGCAGTTTCAGTTAGTCTGTGATGGCTAGCAGTAAGAATTATCTCTACCAGAAACTGTCTAATTTGCTGTAAAAAGCACGAAGATCATATATAGCTCAATCGTGAGTCTGAATAGCTCAGTGATAACGTCTCTGACTGCCGGCGGCACTGGGTGACGCGGGTTCGAATCTCAGAAGGGACATGAGTTCTTTCAAGGTGGTCGCAGATATTCCTTGCTGATGAGTGCCAACTAGCACGAAACCTGGGTGGTATCCGAAGCTTCCTGTAGCCGATTGCCTCCAACCATATAATACCAACATCTCACAGTGCACCGTAATGGCGAGCCACCACCTAGTGTCATGGTGGCCACATTGCAAGCTGGACTGATATAATTCAGTCTGCACCGAAGATAGGACTAGACACATTACAACACTAGTTACTGACTAGTGTGCAATCAAAAATATCAAATATAGTTGTTTCAGCAGGTAACTTCACTGCCCAAGTAGGGAAGTTATGCCAGGCTGAGAAGTATATATATATATATATATAGTACGTACGGAGTTCCCTGCTAACGAACCGAGAACGATGACCGTCTTTTACAGTTTTGCTCAGATAATCATCTGTTCCTAGGCATTACTAACTTTAGGCTCAGAGAGAGAGACATTGCCTAACCTGGTAACCTCCATCTCTAAATCAACATTGGACTTAAATAGCCCACACGGCGATCGGTTTTCGTTTGTGAGTGTCAGTAGAAGACTGCAGATACTTCTGGAACACATGAGTAGACTCGGATCACGGTCTGATTCGGGCACGTTTATGCTTACGATTAAACTGACATAAAAAAAACAACTGTTGGCAGCGAAGCAGTTACGCCACTAACTAGATCGACACTCTGAGTCCCTATATATAAGGAAGAACGCAAGCTCACAAGAAGTCTTCACAAAGACCATGAATAGTAGTGGACGACAAAAGCGAAACAGATGGAAAAGGCGTCGGTGATAGGTAACACCAGACAACTATTTAGACTTATCAGGGGAACAGGGGTGGCAGGAGAATCCAGGATATACGCGTTTAGTACCTTTTGCAACGAACTCGTCAACTGGGGTGGTGGTGGTGGTTGTCGTGTTCCTACGGACACTGAAATCCAGCATTAATTGTTTCAAATACGAATGAATCAATCTTGATTATTATTCATACTGTACTTGTTGTAACTGTTCCCCCCTGAGAACACTTATGTCTCATAGATATCGAATCATCGTTCACAGTTAGTTAGTTAGTCAGGAGAGTGAAATGCACTGCTGCACGATATTTGGCCATCTTATGTAAGCAGATAAAGGTGAATCTTTCAATAGGAACAACACCGCTCTCTCTCTCTCTCATTGGTGGATGTGCAACAGGTACACTTAACCATCCATTTACAAAACATACCTGATAAATCTCACTCTATTCACTCCAAATATAACACAAAGCAACCTCGCCTGACTAATACTACAACTAAGTAAATCTTCTGAATGTTAGGATATCCCAACAACTATTACTACCCATATATACTATACACCCAGGTGATATAATAATACTAATAATAATGGCCTTAGTTACATTGATTGGTTACTAGGGTGTAACCAACCAGCCATATTTTTTAATCTGCTCTTATTGTTCATATTACTCACCTCGAATTCTAAGGTATTATCACGCTAGGTGACTAAACAAACAAACTAACTAACTCGTCATCAAGAGTATCTACATCGAATCAGTTCTAATTGATTGGAAGCAATCACCAGGATGTTATGAAAATAACCAACCAACCAACAACAACAGCAACATCCAGTGCCAATCACCATCAATGGGAGGGATTTGAAAGAGGTTACTTCATTCACTCACTTATCTAGGGAGCATTGTCTCAACTACAGGAAGTCGGAACAGACGAGGATGTCAAATCGAGCGAGAAACACATTCATCAACCTGAAACCAATCTGGAAATCTTCGTCACTCAGCATCAATACAAACGTCAAGTTAGTTCTTCTATACGGATCAGAAACTCGGTAAGCGCGTGGGTCACAAAGAACAGGTATTTCCAACAGCCGGTTGCAGACCTTTATCAACCAACAACTGTCTTCACTGGCTCTATACTGAAGATCAGATGGCCGGGCCGGAAAGAAACACCAACAAGAAACTATGGCTGGGAAGAAACAAAACAAGAACCAATCGCCCAACAGCAGCAAATATGCAGGAGAAAATGGAGATGGATTGGACACTCTCTGAGGAGGGTCGCTGAATGACATCGCGCGCGCGTCAGGCCATTTCTCGAGTGTAACCCGACAGAATGGGAAGCGGCGAGTGGGTCGTCAGTGCAAGGGTGACATGGAGGAGGAGATCGTGTTAGTTGGAGGAGTTGAAACAATATGGACTAACATGGGTGGATACAGGTGAAAAGTACAGCAGAACAGGGAAGCAAGTGGAGACGTGTAGCTGAAGCCCTATGTTCCACTAGGAACGCAAGGGAACAATAATATATATATATATATATATATATATATATATATAATCACCAGGATATCACCCTCCAGTTGACCTGACACTCGTCTGATGAATATCATCGCCCCCTTAGAGATTCGAGATGTAAGGCGTTAGCTGCAACTCCGTACGTACTTAGTGTTAAACAGAATAAAAACAAAGAAAACATCGGTGAGCAGAATAACTTAACTCCCTCTATACTGCAAAACAAAAGTAGGATTTGAAGGAAAGCACCACCACCACACACACACACACAACTAGGCTGATCAATAGATTATGACTTCTTTTACAACACTTTTGAATCCCCACTTTATTTATTTTTTTCATTCTGATAGCCTTAAATCCACGAATAAATAAATAAATCATTTCACACTTATTTATCGATTTTGATTAATATTTATTTGTTGGGTTGTTGGTCGAATTTCAATCCATAGAGAGAGAACTTTTCAGATCCTTTACTGTACTGCTGGTGTACTGCTCCTCAGTCCGCTAGGTCCTCCTTTATGGCTGTGAGACCTGGCCACTGAAAGTGGAAGACATGAAAAGACTGACTGTCTTCAATCATAGGTGCCTGCGTTCTATCTCCCGTGTGCATTAAGTGGTAGAATAAGGTGAGTAATATTGAGGTTAGGCAGCGGTCGAGTGCTAAGCTGTTCAGGAGGGGAAATCAATCGACGAGGCTGTGAAATTTCATCGACTGAGATGGTTAGGACATGTGTTACGTATGCCTAGTCATCGCTGGTCTTCCTCGACGGGCGATGTTAGCTGACATAGGGTCAGGCTGGAAAAGGGGTAGAGGCGGTCAAACCAAAACATGGCTTCATCAGTCAATGAAATCCACAACAGTTAGTTTAAGCCAGCCAGTCACGTAGGAAGGTGTAGTCTGTCTGTCTGTTTTCGATATAGAACTTTGCACAGTTGTGCGGCAGTTCAATTCGCCACACTCCCTCCTCGTAGCACACGAAGCAAGAGAAGAAAGTACAAGAAAAGCATAATAGAGACAGTAAGCAGAGGTGAGGAAGGTGTAGACTTCCTGACCAGTTGGGGTTCTCGGGACGGTAAAAACAAATGAAGGCTGGAAACAATTGGTGATATGGCTCAAACTCATCGATCTCAGTGGCTGGCTTGGTTGCATCCACTCCATGTGACTTATGATTTCCAATGAAACTATATTGTTCTTCGTTATTACTCCTCCTTTGTCTCACACCTCTGCTTACTGTCTCTTTTATGCTTTTCTTGTACTTTCTTCTCTTGCTTTATGTGCTACAAGGAGGAGGAGTGTGGCGACTTGAACTGGTGCACATATGTAGAAAGTTCTATGTCGAAAACAGACAGACAGATCCTTTACTTTTACTATATTGTTTATTTGTCCTATCATAAGAAGAAGACAGACTACCTCGACTGAAAGATGAAGAAGTACCTTGACTAGACTAGCTAGCCACTTCAAATTGTATCTACCATTGCAACTGCGCTTTTGGTGTAGCGAGTTATATTGGCCGTTGCTCTAGACACTTGATTTTTCGTGCTCACTCGGCAACATCTCCCCATTATGGCTAAGTAAAGGTGTAGTGGAGGCCATTAACAGTTCGATATTAGACCATCTGGCACAAACCGACCACAAAGTCAGCCAGCCAGCGTGGAAGAATCCTTCTCTATCATCTACCAGGTGCCTAGTAAATTGCCGGAATCATCGAAGCACCGCATGCTCCAAACAGCAGAAGCTATTGCAACGTGCTCTAGCACTTCACACCCTATTACTAAACTAGGAGTCAGTGTAGTCCAGTCCTGTAACATCATCTTACATTTGACGGGAGCGCATGAAATACATGCCAACACATTCGTAGATTGCAGCTCAAGGTGTTCAGAAGACTCTGTTTCATTTTGTCAGCATCCTCGCCTGCATATTCTAAGTCAGTAGAGATTATTCCGTGGTGTTAACAAGTCAATCCCCTGAGTGTCTGAAGTGAGTTAGCGTTAAATCCATTAGCACATACATATATATGATGAAGTTGAATAGAAAAGGGGACACTGGTGGGCATCCCTGACGGACTACTCCAGTAGTTGTCATCACTTCAGATGACAACTGGTCGTAAGCCCTCACTTGGTCAAAGAATATAAACTGTATAGATACATACATATAAATAGCGGTTTGATCGCTTGAATAACTACACCTTGGCTTGCGTGTCTTGTCTTCTGCTATTACACAATAGTATTATGCAAAGGATTATTTATAATTGATTAGATTATTGAACTTATTCCAGGTCAGATCACTAACTGATCACTGATATTTTTATTAGTTTAATTATATAAATATATATATGAAACCAACCAAATCAACTAACAAATAAATGAAAGAACACAAAAACAAAAAAACATCAGCTGACAATCTATTGATTTTCGTGTTTACTTTACTTTACTTGTTTATTTATTCATATATCTATCTATATCTATATATATGCATGTATGCCTTCGTTCATTCATTCATTGAAATACAGTTATTACAAAACGCGACTGTTTTGCTTGCACTTATGTCCTTATCTGACCTTATTGTATTTATATGATTATTTTCATCAATTGTTGTAATTAGAGGTAGGTAGGTAGGTAGGTAGGTGTATGCACGCATTTTGTGTCAAAAAGTGAAATTTCCCTTTTTGCCTTTCACAATTTCATTCTCTTCTTCGTTTTCGCCTTTGTTTATTAGTTTGGAAAATATTATTTATTTTATTTTATACTTGATAACGAATTGATAAGCAATTATTATAATTTATTAGTATTATTACTATTATTCCCTTGGGTTCCGAGTGGAGCATACGGCTACAACAACACCTATCCACTTTGGTTACAGGATTTCATCACATGAGCTGACATTGGTTAGAGGAACCATTGGAAAACCAGCTGGGAGTAATGGACAGCTGTCTCGTCAGACTAGTTTGCTACTCTTCATCAGGATGCACTCACCACACAACCGGTTCGAACCCATGACCTTCTTGGTTGCAAGGCTATCGACCTCATATACCATTAAGCCACTGGGACCCGATTCAATGGCCAGTCCATGAATTCTAACTTCTGCCAATTCACGCATGACATTACGCAACCACTAGCCAATGTCTTCGGTGAGTATTTGTCACCACTCTCGACAAGAAAGACCCTATTTAGTCAAGACTTCTTACTACTATGCAACTCCAGGAAACTTCATTCTTCGATAACTTCCTCATCTGGCTGACCGACTACTAATAACTAATTTCACCTGCTCCTCTTCTAAGTAATGTCACCGCCCAGTTTGTGACTGCTCCTTTAGAGATAGTTACATCTAGACGTAGAATTAAGCAGGTGAATCATCACATTTTTAAATATCAGTATCCTGCATGGTTAAGCGAGGTCAAAGACGACGTCTTTACATAGCTCTCTGTGTATGAGCTCACCTTGTATATAAAAAAACATCATTATAAAGACTATGTTAACGACAAAACATTTTACGAAGCTAAACACTTATGTATTTATAAGTTCTTCTTTCAGGCGCTTTCCGTATTTTAGCTATCACACATTACTTGATTATATAAAAGTCCGAAAATTTCGTCTTCCTGCTAAACTTTTTTTTAACTGTTGCATTCATTTCCTAATTGTTTAGGAAGAACACAACACAACAAAGAGAAAATTTTACTAAAATTTTGAAGTACAAAAAGAAAAAAAACAATCTAATGCTCGCTAGTGACTGGCACTACAAGACGGAGTTTCCTAAAGTTCCATAGTAGTAAATAGTCTTGACTAAATGGGGTCTATTCTGGTCAGGAGTGGTGACGAATACTCGCGAACGATGACATTAGCTACCTGGTGACAGTCGCGCTAAAAATGATAATTTGGTGGAAGTTAGAATTCATGGACTGGACTAGCCATTGACAAGTTGGATACCAGTTGTGTGAGTGAGAATGGTCTGCAAGCTCGATAAATTTGTAACTTGAAGGTCTTGGAGTTCGGACCCTGGGGATAGGTGTGTCGTCCAGAGTGGCAGACACGAAGAGATTAACTGTCTCCGATCATAGGTGCCTGCGTTCTGTCTCCCGTGTGCATTAAGTGGTATAATAAGGTGAGTCTGTCTGTCTGTTGTCGACATAGAACTTTGCACAAATTTGCGCCAGTTCAAGTCGCCACACTCCGTGTAGCACGCGAAGCAAGAGAAGAAAGTACAAGAAAAGCATAATAGAGACAGCGAGCAGAGGTGTGAGACAAAGGAGGAGTAATAACGAAGAACAAAACAGTTTCATTGGAAATCATAAGTCACAAGGAGTGGATGCATCTGCACTAGCCATCGCTGAGAACGATTTTGAACCATGTCACCAATTGTTTCCAACCATTGGTTTTTACCGTCCCAAGGACCCTAACCTGGAAGTCTACACCTTCCTACATGGCTTAGACCAACTGTTGTGGATTTCATTGACTGGTGCCAAGTTTTTGTTTGACCGCCGCTAGCTTTTTTCCAGCCTGACCCTATATCCGCTAACATTGCTCGTCGAGGGAGGCGATGGCTTGGCATACGTAACACATGTCCTAACCATCTCAGTCTTTGTAACTTCACAACTTCGTCGAATGATTTCCCCTGTTTACCTAGAACTCGACGCCTAACCTCAATGTTGCTCACCTTATTATGCCACTTTACACGGGAAATAGAGCGCAGGCACCTATGATCAAAGCCAGCTAGTCTTTTCATGTCTTCCACTCTCAGTGGCCAGGTGAGTAATATTGAGGTTAGGCGTTGAGTGCTAGGTAAGTGCTAGGACATGTGTTACGCATGCCTAGCCATCCATCACCTCGAGACGGTAAACACCAATGATGGCTGGAAACAACTGATGCTATGGCTCAAAATCGTCGTTGTCAATGGCTGGTGCAGATGCATCCACTCCTTGTGACTTATGATTTCTAATGATGAAACTACATTGTTCTTCGTTATTACTATTCCTTTGTCTCACACCTGTCTCTGTTTACTGTCTCTATGATGCATTTCTTCTACTTTCTTTTGCTTTTTGTGCTACAAG